CCCCCAGGAGCTGGTGGGGGCATCTGGGGAGGTCCAGGGGGTCCAGAGGGAGCAGGTCCAGTGGGGGGCATGGGGGGCAGGGGCAGGCCACCAGGTGGGGGTGGGGGCAAGGCATCTGGCAGCGGTGGCCGAGGGGGCAGGCCGTTCATGAGTGGGGGTGGGGGCCGCTTGACACCTGGGGGTCCAGCAGGGAGGCTGGGCGGGGCTGGGGGCTTCTCCATCTTAAAGTGGAACTGGAGGAAAAACTGCAAACAGAGAGAGGTCAGTGGCTTCAGGCTGGGGCCAGGGAAGGAAAAGCCCCCACAGCAGGCCTGAGGAGCCTCACCTGCTTGGTCTCCCGGTTCCAGTGAGTCCAGAACTTGCCCTCGGCTTTGTCAATCTCCCGGCTTGGTACCTGGGGTAACAGGGTGAGGCTGTGAGTTCAGCAGCAGGGTGGCACTGGGCAGGGTACTCGGGGGGGGGGGGTCCAAGTTGGTAGGGCCTTTAGAGGGACTAGGGTAGGGTAGGGGTGACAGCTGCTCAGCTCTGCCAGGGTCGCTACCTTGAAAGCAATAGTCTCGTAGGGCTCGGCTGCCATGAGCAAGTACTGCCAGCGGCGGTCTGGGGGCTCTATCCTTTGCTCATAGGCAGACATGAAGCGGTGGCGGGGCATGATGCCATCAGCGATCTCAGGGTAGTCAATCTGCCGAGGGCGCAGGACAGGGCAGTGTGGGTGCTGTCCCTCAGGGTCCCAGCCCCCCGCCACCCCCAGGCCCCATATCACCTGGAACAGCAGGCTCTGCTGGCCCATCTCCGTATCCCTCTGCTTGGTCACTGTAATAAAGTGGGAAGCGTAGTTGTCACCTCAGTCAGGACCTACAGTGGTCTACTGCCACCCACTGAGCAAGTGGCCTTAGGAGGCCCCTATTGAAGGAGGTGGGAAGAATCTGCCAGGGCTCATGGAGGGCAGAGGTGTGTGCAGGGTAGCTGGAAGGGAATCACCGAGGTACCTGAGCAGGAACACCTAATGTGGGGCTCAGCCTCCCTGAGCCTGGACTTGGGTGAACTGCACATACTGGCCTGGCTCTGTGTGCAGGGAATGAGGAAGGCCCAGGGCAGAGCACTTGGAGTTTGTGGATGACCCAAACAGTCTCTGGCCAGCCCTAGCACCCTCCAGCCCACAGTGACTCTTGGGAACTTGGCTCCCTGTGATCCCACTAGCCATATGACTGGCTTTCGGCAGGTCACCCCCAAGGCCTCTGCTGAGGGTCTGCAGACACCCTGTCACCCCTCTCCCCTCCTTCTTTCCTTGAGGTTACAGGTGGGGGTGGGTGCTTATCAACCCGGCTGCTGGTAACACTGGTAGACACGGGGGGGGGGGGGGGCAAGGGGGGGCAGACGGCAGAGAATAGTGGGTGGCTCTGTGTGGCCTGAGGATGGTGCCTCCTGTGTCATTCATGCAGGCTGCCACTGCACAGACACACCTTTGTAGCCCGGGCGGCCGATCTTCACAAATTTCTTCACCTCCACCTTGACCTTCTCTGGGGCTGGCTGTGCAGGGGCCTCCTTGGCTTCCTTGGCTGCCCGCCGGGCCCTGCAGACACATGGGGGATGCTGCTGCTGTGGCACCTGCCCAGCTGCCAGAGCCCATGACCTTGGAACTCATGGACAGGATGAGGAGAGCTGAGGTCCGCTCAGGGGTGCCAGGCCAGGAGCAGCTTGGGCATCCCTCCTGCTACACCCACACCTTGTTGGGGAGCCCCCAAGAGCCCACCATCCTTGCCCTTTTTAGAGATCCGAAATTCAGCTGGTTGGTCAGGGGCACTGGGCAGAATATCTAGACCCCGGGTGGGGAGGGTGTGTCCTCCAACCCCTTTCCCATTCTCCCCTCCAGCCACCCCACAAGTAAGAGGCTTCTCACTCCCAGACAGACTACCATGGCTGCAAGAGAATTCAGGGCTGTGGGTACTCACAGGTTGGTCTGATGTTTCTTCCCCTGGGTGTGGGCCAAGTAGCTACCCTGCAGGAGAGCAGATTGGTCACTCAAGGCTGGGGAAGCTGGGCTGGTCTTGCCCAGGCAGGAACACAAGGAGCAGAACCCAGTCCCTGACCACAGACATGACTTGGGAGGGGACAGAGCAGGATGGGCATTGACCATAGGGAGCTGAGACCCCAGAGTCAGGGGGACATGTGGTTGTCCCCACTAGAATGTTCGAGGACACTGTTCAACCTGGTTCTGTCATCTGAGCACTCGGGAGACCAGGGATGGAGGACTGTGAGTTACAGGTTGGTCTGGAGCGCATGGTGAAACTCTTGTCTTGAAATAAAGTGTGAAAGTTGGACATGGTGACACATTCCAGTCACCCCAGCATTCAGGAGGTGGGGGCAGTAGTGTCAGGAACTCAAGGCTGGACAGGGTGACACAGTGAGTTCCAGACCAGCCTGGGCTACGTGAGACCCTGTCTCAAAAAAGTATGGACCTCCCCCCGCCACAACAAAAACCTGGAGAGCTGGCTCAGCAGTTAAGAGCACTGGCTGCTCTTGCAGAGGACCTGGGTTCAGTTCCCAGCACCCATATGTCAGCTAACAACCATCTATAACTCCAGTTCCAAGGACCTGATGCCCTCTTCTGGCTTCTGAGAAGAGTGCACTTGCATGCATGCAGGCAGAATGCTCACACATAAAAACAAAACAAACAAAACCACAAACCCAAAAACCCAGTGGGAGATGCAACTCAGTTCAGTGACAGCTCACTTAGCATGTGCCAGGCTCTGGAGTAAAACCCCAGCACTGAGAAAAAAGGGGAGTGGTCCAAGGCCAACCACCGTCCCCTCATCAAAATGAAAAAGAGCAGGTGGCACATGCCTTTAATCCCAGGCCAACCAGGGCTGCACAGTGACACTGTCTCAAAACAAAGAAAGCTCTAAGAGGAGAGGTGGGCAAAAGGCAGCATGGGGTATGTCCAGGAGTATGTACCTCATTGTTGTGCAGTGTCAGGCAGAGTTTGCATTCGTAGGATCCTAGGTGGTTCTTCATAAAATATGGGTCCTGGGAGGGAACACACGGCACTGGTTAGACAGCAAAGCCCATGGCCCTGTGATCAGGGTACTCTGAGACCTGGTCAGCCCATCCCATAAACACAGGGGCCATGGCATGGCAGGCCTGTGTGGGTATGGGGATACTGGCCCTCGAGGCCTGGCCATAGGCACCCACCTTGTTAATGTCAATGGTTTCTAGAGCTAGCTGCCGCAGGCGCTCTCGGCGGTCCCGATTGCTCTCAGAGGAGGAAGCCACGCCCCCACTCCCAGTCTTGCCCCCAGGACGATGCTGGAAGTCCATGATGAGGTTCTGAGGGTGTCAGAGTATAGGAAGAAACCTGGAGATGAGAAAGAGGGGCTGACCGTTCAGGATGCTGAAGATGTCGAAGGAACCATGGAATGGTAACTAGTTGACAGGCAGGCAGGCCACCCCTTGCCCCATGCATGCCCCAGCCTGAAGTCTACTACCCAGTGCAGAAACAGCTCATGGGCTGTGGTGGCAGACAGCAGGACACCCAGGGAAGGCACAACCAGCTTTGCCAGCAGGCTTCCTCTTACCACCTTCAGGAAGCCTCAGACAGACCAAGGCCCCCAGCATCACTGCTGAGATGGTCTCATGTAGCCCAGGCTGGGAGCAAACCCACTACATTGCCAAGGCTGGCTTTCAACCCCTGGTCCTCCCAAGCCATGGCATTACAGGGCTGCATGGCCACTGCCTACTTTATTTCATTTTTATCCCTATTTCTTTTTCTTTTCTCTGTGTAGACAAGGCTGGCCTCAAACAAGAGATCCACCTGCCTCGGCCTCCAAAGTGCTGGGACCAAAGTAATTTAATGTTTTTAGGCAGAATCTTACTCTGCAGACCATGCTGGCCTCAGATTCCAAAAATCCTCCTGCCTCTTTTTAAACCCAGAAGTGAGCTCAGAGACAGAGTCCAGGGGCCCAAGTGAAGGACAGTCCTCACCTTTATACCCAGAGTCTATATAACACAAAAGGGACTTTGCAAACATGAACAAGGGTCCTGATGGGGTGGGAGGTCCTGGTTATCCAGGACCCCATGTCAGCAAAGGGATTCCTTATGGAGGTAGGCATGAGGGTCAGAGACTGTGAGCTCTGACACTGTGAGCTCAGGTGTTAACAGGTTTGAAGAGGGAGAGACCTGGGCTGTGGTGGCACAAGCCTTTAACCTAGCACTCGGGAGGCCAGCCTCAGCTACATAGCAAGACCCTGTCTCAAAAAAAAAAAAAAAAAAAGTAAATCAAAAGCAAAGTTCAGCCAGTAACAGGATGGACTCGAAGGAGAAGATTGAGTAGACATGTGACCTCAGGGTTAGCGACAATAAAATTCCATCGATCCTGGAAGAAAAATGTTACTTGTGAAGGCAAAGTCAGGGAAGCGATGGCCTAGTCCTAACAATGATTCACTTCTGGGTGGAAATACCGTTATCTCTAAACCTCAGCAGCCGACCTACTTCGCAGTCACCCCAGGTGGGCGAGAGCAGCAGTCGCGCGCACACGCTGAGGTTGCCGGGGGCTTGACTGACAAGGAGAGAAACTGAAACAATCTCTGCGAACCGGACCGGACGGGACCGGACGGGGGGGGGGGGGGGGAGCTCGCCAAGAACCCGAGGCTCAGGGCAGCCTCGGGGGCCAGGGAGGCACCCCAGCCCCAGAAACCCACGACCCCGCCAAGACCTCAACGGGCCTCACGGGAGCGCGCCCCCGCACGCGTCCAACCCCATTTTCAAGACTCCCCGCAGCCGAGACGGGCGCCATCAACACCCCAAGTCGCTCCTCACCCGCGCCCACGGCCGCGCTGCCCAGGCCTAACTCAGCGATGGCCGCGACTCAGCTGTGCGCAAGCGCAAAGCGGGCTCACCAATCACTTCCGGGAGCAAACGAGGTCGAGTTTCCGTATGCGCATGCTCAGCCCGCTTGGTTGCCCGGATGAGCGCTTCAGGAGGCGCGAAGGGAAAAAGGGAGGCGGGACCCGAAGTGCGCGTGCACGTAACGTTCTCAACGAACTTTTAGTGCGCACGAAGTCTCGTGGAACTGACTATCGCGAGGGTACGGAACCTTCCACTCCGCGGTACGGAACCTTCCACTCCGCGGGTTCCTGGAGGGAGCTTCACTTATAGTGAACAGCGCATTCCGCGTTTACAGTGTTTGATGGGGATGTAAGGACAGGTGGTCTCCTTTCCTCCTGAGTCTGTGCGCCTTTCGGTGCAGACTCCGTCCGCCAGTGCCACCCCATGGCGGATGGTGGGCTAGCAATGCTCCCGGCGCGCAGGCGCAGTAGCCCTGCTGGGACTTCCGGGGTCTTTCTCTGAGACTTTTGTGGCGCCCGCTGCGGGTCTCTGAGAAGACCCGGGCAGACTGGGAGGGCGTGTTCTCCTTCGCGCGGATCCTATACAACGCCCGATGCGGTACAACGAGAAGGAGTTGCGGGCTCTGTCCCGGCAGCCGGCAGAGATGGCGGCCGAGATGGGCATGCGGGGCCCCAAAAAGGGCAGCGGTGAGCGGGGGTGGGGG